CTCTTTATCGCGACCGTCAGCGTGTGGGCGTGCGACGAGGGTCTGTGGGCGGAGCACACATTTCTTCCCTCTTGTTTTGTTTTTTTTGCGGTCAGGGCGGGCAGACACCCGCAGCGCCACACACACAGCCACACCCTGCCGCTTTTAAAAAGTAATTTTGCTTGCTCTCTTTGACTTTCTCACTGTGTGTGTTTTTTTTTTTTTGCGCTGTCGCACTCTTCGGTGTCGGCCTCGTGAGCATTTCTCTCCCCTCTGATGATTTCTTTTTCTGCGCTCACTCTCCCGATGGAGAGACGCGACTCCCGTCATGTCTGCGTGCTTCTCTCAGTCCCCCCACACACGAGTGACTGTGCTCTGCGGCCCACAATCACGCGCCGATGAGAGGGCTGAGGGGAGCAGCAACACGCAGATGACCCGTGAAATGTAAACGATGTGCGGACACATGGAGGGTCAGACGGTTGAAAGACATTTAAATATCTTTTAATTTTATTTTTGGACAAAATATGCAGACAGTTTCTGGAGCAACATGGTGGTTGGGTGCTTTTTGTGTGTGGTTCTTTTTTTTCCTTTTTTTTCTTTTTTCATTTTTATGTGTAACCGTAATAGAGGACGACATTTCTTCTTTTTCTTTTTTTTTTTCATTTTTTTTTTCTTCTTTTCAAAGTGTGAGGTGTGGAAGGTGAAGATGAATTTTTTTAAGATTTTAATAGTTTTTTTATGAATTGCCGCTGCTTTGTCTGCAGCGCAATATCATGAGCTTGAGCAGTCTTTTTCTCTTTATTTCTGCCATGCACCTCTGCTGTACATTTTTGTTTGTGCGTCTCTTCACATGCTCTGCTCCTGTTTTTACTTCTTTGCCTCGTTTGTCTGCAGGCACACACAACCACATGTACGCACAAGATGCACATTGCAGTGGATTTTAATGCTTTTTTGTAGCGTGTGCTGGCGGTTGCGGGTGGCTGCTGCTTCCTCCGTGGGCATGAAGGGAAGGAGGAGAGAGGGAGTGCACGGCGAGTCAATTTTGCTGTTGGCGTGATGCACCGCCTATGACCGCCTTGAGTTGGGCATCAAATTCCATTGTGGGTGGAATGACTGGAAATGTTGTCGCCGCGTCATGGCTGGATGAGGATCCGCTTCCGCGTGTGGCTCTTTGGGTGATTGCTAGCTCCGTGTGCGTTGTGTGTTGGCTACGGGCTGTGGCCGTATTCCGTTGGCCGTGGGATTGAACTGGAGGCGGTGTGTCTCTTTTTTTTCTTGTCCATTGGTGGGTGACTGCCGGCGGTGTGCGCGTTTGTTGTGTGGAGGGCCGAATCCTCTCACCCGCGGACTGACGGCACTGCGATGGTGTGTGTGTGTGTGAGGGCTGGTGTGGAGTTGCCAGCAGGTTGATGCCCTTGGCGGTGCTTTTCCCGCCTGTCGTTTGTTCCTTCCGTGTGTGTTGTGCTGCTTCTTGCTTTTCCCCTCTCACCCTTTCCTGCTGTGTTCCTACGTGGAGTGGCCGCATGCTCACAGGCCATGTTGATTGTGAGTGCCTCTTGACGGCATCCATCTCCCTCTTTCTCTCCGCCTGTCTGTCTGACTTTCCCTGTTTGCAGGACCGTGGCCTGCGGTCCCCCATTGGGAGGCTGCTCACTTGTTTTTCTTAAATTTTGTGTACTGTTGAGAGGTGCTGGGGAGTAATGGCTGCGGGGATGGTGATATTGTGGTTCGCTGTGAGTGGTGGCGGTGTGTACCGTTGTTGTGCTGCCTTTCTGCCGCTGTTGCCTGTTGCTTCCCTCCACGAATGAAGTTACTACTAAACGCTAATCGCCACTGTGAAACTCGAAGGCTTTGAAAGGACCAAAAACAGCACACACACACACATATTTGTATGCTTTCAGGTGTTGCTGCTGTGAAGGCACCCCGCACACACAACCATCGCCGCATGACCGGATCCAGCGGAAGGAGGAGGGAAGGAAGAGAGAGTGAGCCGCAGAGGCTCAACATGTCCCGGCATCATTTCTGTTCTGCGGTGCCGCTCCTCCTCGTTGTGGTGTGGATGTGCTGCAACACTTGTGGTCCCGCAGCCGCTGAGGAAAGCAATTCAGGGGATGTGCGGCTGCCGCAACGGGTCGGTGTCTTTTTGCCGCAGAAGACGTCGGTGCTGCCGAAAGAGGGGGCGGAGCCGGGTGATGTGAGGGATGTATTTGTCTCACCCTCTATTGTCAGTGCTGGAGGAGTGATTGCCGCTCTTGCTGAGGGTCGGAAGTGGCATAGTGCTCCGCAGCATCCAGCCGCCAAAACCCTTGCGATTGATATTGTTGCGGGGTACCTCAACGCTACGGAGCCGTGGCCGTCCATGGTCGCCTATATTACCTCCAGTAAGTGGAAGGCACACACCGTCTTTGAAAGAGAAACCCCAAAGGATGGGTTGGGCATGGCGATTCCACCCACGTCACTTTCCAAGGGCAATGAGCTGCTCCTTCTTGTGGGAAGCTCTTACTTTGTTTTTTATCCTACCACGCAGCATTGGGTTGAGGGTGGAGGGGACATCCATTTGGTTAAGGGTGAAGTCGCGCTGTCCACGGAAGACGAGCCGAGTGAACGGGTCCGATGGGGCAGACCTCCATCGCTGTTGGGGCTGATCACCGAACTTACCAAACAACTTGGCCTGCACCACGTTTCCGGTGCTGGTGGCTCAGGGATTGTGCTTGAGAGGGGCTGGCTTGTGTTTCCCCTGACGGCGTTAAAAGGCGAAGAAAAAACCGTCTTTACTATTTATTCAGTGAACGGCGGCAGCAGCTGGGACGTCGGCACAGCCACGACTCTTGGGTACTGCATGGACCCTCTTATTGCCGAATGGGAGGAAAAACTTCTCATGATCATTGAATGTGCGGATGGCCGCAAAGTGTTTCAGGCGGGTGAAATGTGGGATGCATGGACGAAGGCTCCCAGGGTACTGCCACGCCCGTGGACCAGCGAACCAAACCCTCGGGGGCTAAATTTTGCGTTGGGAGATCTCCTCACTCTGAAATTTGGCATAAGGAGTGTCATGCTGTACACTCAGAAGGGGTTTCCCCAAGGGGAAGGCAAGGTGAATGTGCTCTACCTTTGGGTCACGGAAAATAGCCGCGCGCGTCCTGTTGGCCCAATTTCTATGGATGATGATAGGGAGAGGACGGTTGCCAACAGACTGCTGCACTAAAATAATATGCTGTACCTTCTGCAATGAGAGAAGAGCTGAAAGTACCGATGGCATTTTTCTTTCCCCACTGAAGGAGGAGCTCGACACAATTATGTCCATCGCGAATAGTTGGGTACTGATGGACATTTTCTTTTCCGGGTTGTCTATACCCACGGATGGGCTGGTTGCTTCTTTGTCCGATTCAGCCACTTCTGACACGTGGATCGAAATGTACCACTGCGTGAATGCAACGGACCGTTCACTTCTGTAACTGATGGACGAGCCCGTCAGTCAATTTGTGGGTGTGGGAGGGTTTGTTTTGCAGATACGGCTCCTTTGGTTGGGCACAGTTTGTTCGCCGTTTGCCCGAGGAACAGTTCCTTCAGGCAAGACGGATGAAATTTATTTTAACGTTGGAGGAGGAGAAACGACGTCGGGCACGGGATGCTTATTGCCTTGTGGCACGCGATCAATTTGCTCCCATTTGATGCGTTGAGTGCTTTACGGAAGGGGGACCACATGCGTATCATTATTGAGCTTTGGATCACCGTTTGGTTGCGTTTGAACACATGACGCTTCAAATGTTGTATTATCCGCTGGGGGGTAGCTGTGGTTTCATCCGCTTTCGGCACTGACGGCTCTTTGTATGTTTGGGAAGGGCCTTACTTTTATTGTTGTGTGTTTGTTACTTGAAGGAGGTCTTGCGATGGAGGTGGATGATGGCTGGCGGCGGGACGGCCAGAAACCGGCATGATTGGAGGCATCGCAAGCGGCGTGCCGTGTTTCGTGGCTTCTGGCTTTTTTTTTCACTTTTTTGTTTTCTCTTCTTTTACCTTGATGTTTTTGCTCTTAGCGCGTATGCAGGGACGCGTAGATGGATATGTTTACAATTCTTTCGGCGTCAGGAGATCCGGTTGTGATTCCGCGGGACCCCGCAATCATCTGTCAATCTGCGTGGCTGCAAGCAGCACTCGACATTGGGGAAGAAGAGGGAGTTGTGCCTATAGCTAGCACACAGACACTACAGTGCCTGGTGTCCTATATGAAACACCATGCAGCACACTCCGAAGATGACGAACAGGATATCGAGCTTCCAGTTTCATGCACGTGTACGAGCAGTCCTGCCGGGTTGGGATATGATGTACACGTAATACTTCCGCCTAGTGACATTGCCTTTTTGGATGATTGCGTTGGCAGGAAAAATTCATGGCCTTTGGAGGCGCAAGAGTTGTTTTTAGAGCTATTAGTAGCTGCTGACTTTGTGGGACACAGTCGCCTAATGAGGGTATGTGCAGCGTACTTTGCCTGCCGACTCATGTCCGCTACGGAGTCCGACATTTTGAGGTGGTTTGCGATGCAGGCGCCACACGACGGGAGGGAGAATGGCGTGGGATTACCCGATGAAAAGAAGGATGGCCTCCTCCTGTTGCTTTCTGACGAAGACCGACTTTATTTTTTGAGGGAGATGAGAAAAGTCCTGAATATCGAGGAGTGAATCAGTCAATTTTTGCTTGTGTGCGTGACCGGCGGCGTTCCTCTTAAAAGAGGGTTAAATGTCATGACGATGATGCGCCATTTTATTTCCCTCCACTTTTTTTAAAGCATTTTTTCCCTTTCTCTTACACCATATATATATTTGCTTCACAGTCCATTGTGTTTTTATGCACTTCTTTTTTTTTTTGGCTTTTTTTCTGACACAACGTGGCCCATCAGGTCTGGGAGACGTAACGAACAACAAAAACACACACGCCGAGAGAGACAAAACAGGCGGTAGTCACCCTGTGTGGTTCTGTGAGGATTTCTTCGGGGAGTCCTTCCCTCAAGTTTGAATGCCGCAGAATCCCCAACCGAAGCCTTCTGGCACAAAGACGACATTGGCGCTCCGCAGTTCGCCGGCGCCCCCCGTGGACAGCGGAAAGGCTGAGATTGCGGTTGTGGGTTCCCGTGTTGTTCGTCTTCTTCGCGATGCGCGGGCGTCGGTGCGGACACACCAGCGCCCTGACACCCCGTTGGCCAACGCGGCCCCACCGCGGCCGAAGCGTGGCAGTCGCTTGAGCGCAATTGTTGTATCCGCGTCATCGACCCCCTCGCAGTTGGTAACGAGTGCCCAAAACTTTGACCGCGCGATGTTTGAGTCTTCATTAGATGCGGCAAAAGGCATTCCCCAGCTGCAGTTAGAAAAGCTGGCCGAGCTGAAGCTATGGCTGGCCAACCCACATCATCATCTGTGGGATACGGCAGTGGCGAGATTGCTGAATATGGTGACGTCGACAAACACGGAGGCGCAGGTCGTGATGACTGCGGCGTCCATGCTTTTGCGCCAGAACGAGGTGCATCAATTTTCGGGTCTTCCTTTCGTTATTCGACGTATACATGGATTATGTGAGGGAGGCTCAGTTGGAAAAATGTTAGAGGAGATTCTGATGCGTGAGTCCCTCATGCAGCCATTACTCCAGTTAATGAACACCAGGGAGCTAGCGGACACCCATACGAATGTGCTGTGGGATGTTTTAGAAATACTCCGAAGCTGTAGCGCTAACAGTGGTGTGATCTTAACACAGTTGGTGACACTGGGAGTGATTACTGGCGCAAATGCGCTGGTGAAATACATTTTTTCCTCGACGTGTGATTCGCCTTCTAAAGCAACTTCTCCTTCTTCCTCTAGTAACGTACTCTGCACGCTTCTTCCTTCGCTATGCTTGCTGTACCGCAATCTAAGCACACAGTATTCCCACCTTTTGCGCAAATTGGGCTCCCTCGATCTTCTTGTAGACATTTTGGATCGATTTCGTGAGGATGGGGTTGTGGTGCAAGCGGCGGCTCGAGCAATGGCAAAAACGGTATTTGAGGATTGCTCGCTGGAACATTATCAAAAAGGGAATCGTGCTTGTCGTGCTTTGGTTGCCGCACTGGAGGCAAATTTATTATTGGGTGGCTTGACTGTTAGTCGGCTCTGCGGCACCTTAGCACGGCTTGTGGAGGGGAGTCGGGAGCTTCGGGATTGGCTTATGCGTCATCATCATTGGGTGCTTGTACGTTTGGTACAGGCGTACATTACCCCACAGCAGGTGGCCACCGCGGTGCATGCAGAATCACCGCACGATTTAGAAGAGGCCCAACAAGAGGATTTGTTACAAAACATCACATGGCTTGTGGGGGTGGCAGCCATCAGCGCCGAGTGCTCAACGTCGTTTGTAATTGAGATTACTCCCCTTCTTGTGGAATTTCTGAAGGACCTTGATGTGAAAAAATGGCATCTGACTTTTATTTACACCCTTATGTGTTTGAGTAACCTCTCCTTCTTTTTTGATGCGGTGGAGAGGATGGAGGGCGGTAATGTGGCCCTTGTGGAAATTTACATGACAGCCGGCCTAATCCTTGCTGGGATCCTCTTTGATGGTGATACAGAAGCAACAGTAGAGGCAACGCGGATACTAGGGAACATGAGTCTCACCAATGCAGGACGGGATTGGATGGAGTCGCACCGCTGCGATGAGGTGTGCATCGTTTTTCTGGGACACGAGGATCCTCGCATTGTGTACAACTGCTTTGGTATTCTGCTCAATTTGACAGCAGCCGATACTTGTCGTGTGGCCTCCGACCCGGATCTTATGCAGATGTTATTGCGGCATACGGGGAGGTATACACGTGAGGAGTCTATCGAGGCTGAAAGGATCAGAGAGAATAGCCGTGGCATTACTGCTTCCAGCGGCGACGAGGATCAAGGTCTCAGCTACACGGATCAGATTGCCGACGTTGTGGAGAAGCTTCTCCTAAACCTAAGCGGTCTTATCTAGATGAAGGAAGTAGCTACCAAGTGCGCATGAATAAATGTGAGTTAAAACACAAACTCCGGTCAAAGGAAAAAGGAGCGTTTTGGTGCTATCAGTTTTTCTGTCCATCTCTGAATAAGCAGCGGTGCCGCAGCGGCGGAAAGGGTGGTGGTGGCTGAAACATCAACCCCAACAAATAATGATAGCGATCATCATAACAACGATTTTTGTGCTTTGGTCATTGACTTTCCTCCTAAAAATCCTACCTTTTCTGCCTTCTTTTACACCCACACCCATTCACCCAAACAAACAAATGAAAAAACGCAGGGAAGAAAAGAAGGACCACAAATAAAGGGAGAGGACGGCAGCAATGGGCGGGCAAACCGGCGTGGATGGCGCCTGTGATGTTCCGCAGTTTGGGTGGTACCGGCCCTGTTACTTGCCGTCACGTGATCCACCCAAGAGCACCTTTCCGCCCCTCTCGAAGGTCGTTGTGAGTGAGAGGCTGGATGGCAACGTGAGCGATGAGGAAGCGTTAAAGCGGCGAGCCGAGTTGGGGTTTGCATGGGAGCGGATGAGACCAATCACAGAGGTGTGGCATGGCCCTACGATTGATGACAAGGTGCCGCCCGCAAAGGACTATGAGCGGCTGCTGTTAGATGCGTCATCGGGGAGTCTGCGGTAGTCGTCAAAGGAGGTTTTTTTTGTGTGTGTGTTTCATCCCCACCCTTTATTCCTGGTAGCCACTGTGTTCGGTGTGGCCGTATTTTGCGGGAAGTGTTCTTTTATGTGTGTTTTACCCTGTCTTTGTCAATTATTTTTTTTTTTACGTTTTTCCTTTTGTTCTTGCGAATTATTATGTTTGGCTTGTTGGCAATAACACACAAAAAAAAAAACGCAGAGAGGAGGTGCGGGGAGGCAGCGAAGGTCAGGGGGGGACGGCGCAGCGACGCGTGGGGCTTGAGAAGTGAACCGTTTGACAAAAACAACAACAAAAATAAGGGAGGTAAAAAAATAGAGCATAAGAGGAGGACACACAGACAAAGGAAAACGCACGCAGCGGGAAAAAAAGAGAGGTAATGGGAAATAAATACGAGGAGGAGTACGGAAAGGTCCAGCTTCCTCCACGACGGAGCGAGGACGGGGGCCTTCGAGAGGGCATGTTGATCATCCGCGCTGATGAGGATTACGTTGGCGCGGCCGGCGATCGTGAAAACGGTTTTACCCCACACCCCGCGCGAGCATTCGCGGAGATTTATTTGCAGCCTGTCGTCCGTTCAGTTCTCACGGCAGAGCAATTTATGCGCTGGTCAAAGCGCGAACTTCGGCTGGAGGAAGCCAACTTGTGGAGCCTTGTACTGGAGCTGTTGCTGGATGCTGAGCAGGGCAGTAAATACAACCCGGACGCTATTGGCATTGCTGACGTCCAGCCTCATCGTCGCTGGTATGTGTCTCACCTTTCACACATACAGGAATTGCTGCAACGTCATACACTCTTGCGCCGCATGAACATTGTTGTGCGCTGGCTGGAACAAACTTATAGAGAGGGGAATACATTGCTTAAACTGTCAGCTTCACGTTCTCATGAGGAGGCTGTTTTATTGCGACAGATTATTCTGTCTCACCTACGTGGTGGCGAGCTTTACAGGGCTATTGATTTGGCTGTCACGGCAGGCGACTGCACATACAGTTGTTTACTGAATGCGGCACAGATGCAAACGGTGTATGAATCATGGTTTCATTTGACGCCACTGGTCCCATTATTTGGAGAATATGGTAACGGAGAGGTGGACCAGGTTTGGGCAGGCAATACTCACCGACTGGATAATCTCTCTCAACTCTATGAGGATTCTGTAGCATTGTCAAACTCTGATGAAGGGCGAAGTGCTATTGGTGGGTTAGATGCCATTGTTGCAGCAGTACTGTGCGGTAATCTAGAGGTCATGGAGCCTGCATTTCTGGCGGCGGGAAACTGGAAGGACGCCCTATGGTGCCATCTGCGCGCTGCCTTGGTGTTGTGCTTTACAAAAACGCTTATGAACGCTCATCACACCGTTCAGCCATTGTATGCTGGCTTTATAGAGAAGTTTACCGGATCACATGACTCTTGGCAGGAAGAAACAGCTCGTGGTGTGGTCCAGCGACTTTCTGAGCGACTTCAGAAAAATTATCTCCCCTTTGCTTCTCTAGAGGAACAATTGCAGATGCGTGTCATTCTTCAGTTTCTTTCTCCAGGTGGCGTGGATTGGATGTGTATCACGGATGACCTTTATACTAAGCGTATTGATGGAGCTCGAATAATCTCACATTTGTTGCTATGCCTGGATACGGCGTACAACGAGACACTTCATTCCTACTCCGTCCAGGTATATTCCAACACTCTTGCCATTGCTCTTGCACAATATGGACAGCAGCTTGCTCAGATGCCACTTTACTCCACACAGGATGCGATGCAAGCAGTCATTGCTATGAATTTGCATTTGCGTGATACGAGGCAACGGGCAGCTGTATATGCCGCCTTTCTGGTAGCATGTCGCCGTAGAGAGTTGGAATCTTCGAGTCGGCAGGATGTGGAGGTCAATGAAGCGAAACTTGTGCAGCAATTCTGCAAGGCGGATCCCGTCAGTGCACTGCACGACGAAGTGATGCGCTTGTTGAACCAAAAGACGGAGCCCACTTCGCTTTTGACACATAACACAGTGGCAGAGGCCGTGATGTGGCGGGCGATGCACGCGGACTCCCATGAAGACTTTGTTGTTGCACTTCGAGAGGCTCTTGAGGCGTGTGTCTCATTTTGGTTGGCCGAGCCACATGCCGAACTGGACGCCATTTCTGATGTTTCTGGCATCCTGCGGCGCAACATCCTCCCTTACTTACAGGAGAAAAATGAGACTTTGGGTGATATGGAGTTGATTGAGGCACACTTCTGGATAAAGTTTGCGGAGGTTCGGTCGACGGCAGACGAACACGCACGGAGTACCGCACAACTTGACGTTGCACTTGGTGGAGGCGATCGGACGCTTGTCTTTCAGTTGGCTCAGGATGAGTCTGCACTGTTGCGAGAGCTTCATGCGTTAACGCAAGAAGCGCTTTCACACGGAGGCGCGTTGGTGCGTCGATCTCGCTCCTGCGTCACCGCCGTCACGTGGATTGTGCAGGTATTTGCAGAGGAAGTGGCGCTTTCTGTGCGTCTTGCCTCCCCGGGGGCCAGCGTAATGATGGAGCAACTGAGGAAGGTCTTTGCACTCGTCGAGCAGCTGGATGGACTGGGCTACATTGACCCGAACCTTATTCCGCGGCAGAGCGCGAGGGAGTTGTTTGATGCGGTGCGAGCGGCACGTGTAGCCTGCGGTCAGAAGTCGCACGACTTGCTGGTGAGCGAGGCGAAAAAAACGGCAGCGGCTCGGCAGTTGCCCCTTTAGTGATTAAAACGGCTTGTTAGGGGTGGAATAATAGGACGTGTCAGTGGTGGCGCATCTTTTGTTTTTAAGGGGTGTCTTCTCCTCGTTAGTGAGTGGGACGCACACACACACATATGCCCCCTGTACGCACAAGAACTTGTTGGAAGAGAGGGAGAGAGAACAGGAGGACACGACACGAGGATGACACTTGCGTTTTGATTTCTTCCTGTTCCCAGAAGAAATTCATTTAAACCACGACCAAAAAACTACCACCACCAATAAAAATTGGTGGAAGAAAGCAAAAGAAAAAATGAATATTTTCTTTTCCTGGAGCTTTGCCCTCTATTTGTTGGATGGATGCCGCCTAATATTTTTTGCTTATTCCTCCGACATTTTCCCCTTTGCACTTTTCGCCTTTTTTTCCCGTTTTCTCCGCTTTTTTTTTTTTTGGTTGGATGCGTAGTAGGGGGTGTGGCGGGGAACTGCGGCTTCCTGCAAGCGCAGGGTTGCCAGTCAGTCGCTCCCGTTTTTATCTTCGTCGCAGCGAGTGGAAGCGGTGAATGATGGAAGTTGCGCCGGGGGGCAGAAGGGAACCGCCCACTTACAGATTTTTTTATGCCGATTCCCCCGAGCCCGCGGATGCACGAGGGCCTTTTAGGGAATCTCAGAGACAGCTGACATCGGCTGCGCTTCGCGAGGCAGTAGAAGTGCAGCTGGAGACCCTTGAGGCAATTGACAGGACCGAGCAAATCATGAACACGGCGGAAGATATTGGTAGGGAGGCCAGACAGCAGCTTGCGCAGGACAAGGAGATTATTGAGGTTATTGACACTGCGTTAGAGACAAACGAGCCAATTTTGCACCGAGTGAGACGTGATCTGCGCTGGTTTCGAGTGCAGCTACAGAAGGACAGATTGTTCATATGCTTATTCGGCATCGTAGCTTTATTGTCCGTGGCCGCCGTGATTGTTGTCGTCGCATTCAAGCGGCGGCGCTAGCAGTACGGTTGTTGGCACTGGCTTATTGATACATTAACCCCCCCAATATATATATATATATATATTATTCTATTGGCGTTTTTACTGCTGGCGGTTGTTTTTCCTTCTGATGTCGTTTTCCCATGACTGCTTCGAATGCTTATTTGTGTGTTTCTTCTCACCTTTAAAAAGAAATATATATGCGTATTTGTTGTTTTCTCCCGTGTGTTGGTTGTTCCCTTTTTTTCCCCCATCTCTCTACCTGCAAGTTTTTATTTCTGCTGCAGTTCTTTTTGTCTTATTGGCCGAATTTTTTTTTTGTTTTCCTTTTTTTTATTTATTTTCTTTTGTTATTTTGCTTGCTGACTGCGAAGCCCTTTTTTCTTGCCGTGCGTGCGCCACGTCAACAAAAGTCGATGTCCGAGGAGGAATTTGCGGAGGTGTTTGGTTTCCTGCTGAACAATCGCGAGGATGTGCGGAAGATGGCGGTGAAGGGCATTGCACAGCAGAGCAAAGACAACTCCGCCCTTTTTGCCTTTCTCGCCTCACCGACGCATGGGCCACGTTCATTTGATGCACTTCTACAGTTTTTTCACGCCGGTGGCTTTCAGCTTCTGGGCGACATTTTGACGATTCTTATCAACTGCTCCGTGGACAGCCGCTGTGCGGAGATGCTTGTCTCTCGCCGAGTTGTGCGCAAGGCAATGCGGTTGCTTGAAGGCATTGAGGCCTCTGACCATGCCAATTCGCTAAAGAGGAGCCTGGAGGAGATGACGCTTATGCTTCTCAGCAACTTAACGGCAAGCCACATCATCGCAGTTGACGATCTGCTACAGATCGAAGACGAAGACCTCCGCGGGTTTTACCTTGGGAAACTGCATGTGTATTACAGCCGCTTTTTCAGCAACGGGGTGAAAGAAGAGGGAGAGGATGATGTCGACGACGGAGGTAGCGAAGGGAAAGAATTGGGAACAACGAGAGCGGAAAAACTGCCTGCACGGGATCTACAGAAGTGGATTTTGCAGATTTTGCTCAACCTGACTCGCTCCAGTGAGGGCCAGATGCTCCTCACGGAGGATGAGGATTGGGACAGGACGCTTACGGAATGTCTTGGCTCATCTAATATGCGGCATCGTCTTTTGGCGGCGCAGTGTTACCGCAACTGCAGCCTTCAGAGTGAACACCACGCGGCGATCTTGAGGGGAAACTCTCTACGGGTCTGTGTAGAGCGACTGTGCGACGGTGGGGAACAGGTGCCGGGTGTGGAGTTGATATTGGCGGAGATCGTGGCAGAGATGATGCGGTCGGAGGCGGGGATGCAGTACCTTGAGGAGGTGAATGCGAAGAAGCATCTGCAGGCAGCAGTGGCGGGGAAGAAGGTAGACGATGGGACTGCGGAGTTCATTGAGCGACATGTGTTGCCGTTCCTCGACGATGTTGTCGATGCGTACGTGGTGCATGGAGGCGACACCGTCGATTAAGCAGAGAAAATGAATCCGTGAATAACTGGGAGCATGTTGAATTGATGCGTGTGCCACTGCACAAGCGGAGGCCCACACCACCGAGCGGGGAGACGGCAGGTGTGAATCATTCAATGAGCGGGAGTCAAAGGAATTGAAAGTAAAGACAAGAAGAAAAAACAAACAAGAAAGGAACTTTACTTAATTATATATACACATGCGTATTATTATTGCTTTTGGTTCCTTTTTTTTTTGTGCATGCATGCTGTGAGTGGCTAGGCTGCGCAGATAGCAAAAAAGAAGACAACAAAAAAATTAGCATTTTTGGGACACTGAGACACACAAGTACACGCGTACGCAGACGTATTCAAGTGAACAAGAGGAATAAAAAACAAGAGGGACCAAAAGAAGATGTTTCGCCGCATCATTGCCTCTGCGGGTGTGTATCCGAGAGCGATGGGTGCTCGCACGTACTTCTACGCGTCCCCGGGCGAATCTGGAATCAGCGCTGAGACGATGAAAGGTCTGCTGAAGGCGACTCTTTGCTTCATTATGCTTGAGGCGTTTGTTATCAACCGTGCTGTGTTTCAAGGCCTTAGCACGAAGAACCAATACGTTGAGGATTTCACGGACCTCTGGGAGGATGACGGGACTGTCATGGAGGGCGAGGAGGCGGTTGCGAACCTCCGCATCCAACGCGAACGTATTATGCCATTTATGAACGACATTAAGGAGAAGCTGGACGCCGCCGGTGTTGAGACGGATGCATAGTAGCAGTGAACATTACAATAGCATCGTTCATGGCTCGCATAGTTTTTTTTCACTCCCTCTTTTTTTTTTTTTTTTTACTTTTTATTGGTATTTTTGTAAGGATTCTAGTGTTGCATATATATGTATGCATGGTGAGTAGGGGAGGGAATCAGAGAAATAGGGAGGGATGAGAGAGATGAATGGAGAGTACGCGCAAAAACAAAAACCAAAAAACCTTAAAAAAAAAAAATAATAATGATGGGAGGTCAATTAAGTATGAATGCTTCTTTCATTATATATTATGTTTATATGGGTGTATTGCGTGGGGCATGGGGCGGGTGAGGGTATTTCCAGACGGGAGAAAAAAAAGGAGGATGTTTTTTTCCTTTTTTTTTCTTCTGTGTGTGTGTGTGGGTGATTGTTTTTTACATCTTGTTATTGTTTTGCCGCAGGACCCCCCCCAACACTTTCGATCTCATTTTGCATGTGCCACTATTTGTGTCTGCTCGCAACCCTTAGAGACAGGAGGAAGAATCCGCGGACGCGGCTCATCACGACGATAGGAAGAGTGTTTTGGGCATCATCATCATCATCGCAGTTCTTTTTTTCTTTTCCTTCTTTTGTTTTTGTTCCCTCCGCCTTCTCCTCATTTATTTTTTTTTTTTTTTTGAGGGAAGGTGGGGTCCGCTTTGCTTACCAACAACACCGTTGCCAGCATCTCTTGTTGTTGTTGTTGCCTGTTCTTTTTCTCTCTCCTTTTTTTTTTTGTGACGCCAAAGCCGGTAGGTGCGGCGTAGGGGATAAAAAAAGCATTGGCACGGGGGGCGGTGGGCGACATGAGTTGCATCTTTTCGGAGCTTCGACGCTCGGAGCGGCTGCTCCCTGTGGAGGACAACGCGTCTTTCCAGCGCATCTCCTCATGGCGACCGCTATTTGTTGATCCGCAGGAGCACCCGGCCTTGTACGAACATGTGGCGTTCTTCCGGAGTGATGCGGAGCAGAACTCCAAATGGATGCACACCGTGCGATCTGCCCGCGTATCTACACGACAGGTTCCTTTCATCACATTAACGGGGCCTGATTCCTCTGCCAAGGCACCAGTGACAGCAGGAAAAGTGCCAACTATCGTTCATGAAAACCATGACTCAGAGGACAAGCTGCCAACGCATGTTTTTCAACAGCACGTGGCTGCATTGGCACCATACGAATGCTTTATGTGCCCCACACTTCTTTTCAGCCCGTTTCGACCCTTGTTTACGAAGCGGATGGTGCCCATTGCGTTGAAGCTATCTCTTCCTGTGCAAGAGGTCCTTCTTTTTCTCTCTATGATGTTTGTTTATTTGGACGTGGTCATTGCAGTGAGTGTACCGAAGCCATTATGCTTTCAGGAACTGGCTGATTTACTAGAGCAGCGGCGTGTGCAACTCGTTGAATCATCTGTAAATAGCGCTTGTGATCCACACCGAAGGGCTTTTACGACAGTGTTGAACGCAGTGATAGAGTTGTGGAAGGAACAACGCGAGGCGACTGTGTCGGCACTTTTTCCCTTGGGGACTCTTACTACCTCTGTGTGTCTGCGTGACATTGATGACAAGGCTTACCGCGCATTCGTGCCTTCTGCTTCGCGTGACACAAAGCGGGAGGACCATCCGTTCCAACTTCCACCGTTGGCTGCTGACGCACTTGTTTCCCACTTTGTTCCCACTTGGGAGCGCATTTTGGAGGCAATGTCTCGCGATGTGTCGGTTCTGGCCACGCTACATGACTATCTTGTGCGCCAGGGAGCTGGCATGACGCGTATGCGTCAACCCGGAACGGGCAATTCTTTTGCATCAATCCATGCCCTTCCACACAATAAAGAGGAACTGGCGGATTTTGTTTGCCGCCTTGGTTCCTCACTGTGGACCTCCTCGAATATGGCGAAGAGCATTGTGCTTTCTAAACCCCAGCTGCAATCCGTCAGCAAAATCTTCCAAAAAGAGTTTTTTGCGACGTTACTGCGTCTGCGTCACCGAGGCGTGCAGGAGTTACGTGTGCGGCGTGTGACCCTTGGGGATCTTGCACTGACGGTTATTCAGGACGACGGGCGGGAGGCAGAGGTGGGGCGTCCTGCGGGATTTCTCGTGGGGCGCACGGCGATGGGTGACAACAAACCAGATAGCGACAGCGACTCCAAGGGTGGGGATGGCAATAAGAAGAGTAACCTGCCATTGTGGCTTGTAGCGGAGGGCGGTGTGGATGTTGTGCAGACGTTTTTGGAACATCTTATCCGGGACACGCGTGCCACGACGTTCCTTCCGGCAACGCTGCCGTGCCGCAATGGTGATGGGCGTGGCTCGACCGTTGCAGGCGTTTCTAAAGAGGACGAGAAGGGAACACCAACGGTGGAGGAGCAACAATTTGTTTTGCTGACGCGTATGGAAGAGGGAGTTCTGCATCGCATTTTTCAAAGTCATCCGAATGCTCTTCAGCTTACGGGGTGCGGCATTCGGCAAATGCTGGTGCGCATGGAGGATGGTCAGCCCTTTTTGCAACGAGTTTGCGGTGCCGTTGTGGCGTGGGACATCTGGGAATGTTATGATTCAGAACAGGCGTCGAAGTTGCGGCGGCCCCGCCGGATCATCACCGCCGATGCCCCGTTTCCTTTACCAGAGGGGATCGCGCCGTCCCGCCTGAATTTGAAGGCAGTGCGGGGAATGGTGCAGCACTACTGGAAAGCCCTTATTCTTGAGCAAGGGCGGGCGGCGGGCTCGAAGCGTTCGGAGATGACGAGCACAACACTCTTTCCTATTGACAGGGCTGTTGCATTCTACGTTTTGCGGCATCATCCGCAGTATTACGTACGCGTGCGAGGCTGCGGTATTGTCGATGTCTGTGTACAGCGGCAAATGCGTTCTGCTAGCAGCGGGAGACCTTTTCATTTTTTGGACTCTGAAGCAACGGGAGAAGAGAGCCAGGCCGTGACGGATGACACATGTGAATATGTTCCTGCGCTTGCCGTTACACATCCTTGTGGCACGTCTACTGTTATTTCCTACGAGGACTGCTACAGTCCGGTCACGAATCGACTGAACCGACCACAATTGCTTGAAAACGATGCTGGTGGCACGAATGATCCGGCGTGCCTTCCAACACCTCCGTTGAGAAAACGAAGCTTTTCAATGATGAGGGAATGATGTGCCCCACAAATTACTTTTTCCGGTGGCTGCGAGGGCTATTTATGGAATGTTGGTCTTGAATGGGGGAGGTGACACGCAGGCGCGCTCAATCTGCATGCAGTAATGGGAAGACTTAACCGAGGAGGAATAAACGCCTGAAAAACGTCTGATCAAACGCAGGTGGGGAACGGAAAGAGAATACAAAAAAATACGGCTTGACTGGCAGTATAAAAAAATTATCAATTCGATTGTTTTTATTTCCTTTTCAGCAAAAGAAGGAAGGGTTGTACTATTTGTTATTGAAATCTTGAGGCTTTGCCTCTCGCTGATCGACGACAACGACCATGGAGTAAAGTGAAGAAAACGAAGGGAAGAAAAAAAAAAAGGGCTAAGTGGGGGAGGAGTATATTTTTGTTGGTTTTATTTGTGTCATTGCGGCGGCTCCTTACTAATGTCACGGTACGCAATGGCGTCACCGGGAGAAGCAGAAAGAAGGGAATGATGAAAAAAAAATTTTCTTTTTTTGGGAGGAGGAGAAGACCAATGCAGCCGGTTTCAGCGACTTTCTATGCGGCTGCACCATTGAATGGAAAGAAGAAGGAAGGGAATAACTTTTCTGTGTAATGAGGTTTCCGCGGCTGCACGTGGCCATGAAAAATTCTCTAGAATGACGGAGTGAAGTTAACTTCTCGGGGTTCGGTCAACTGCGGTATTTTTCTCATGGAAATGTGAACTCATTGTTGTAGAGATCATGACTGGGGGGGTGGGGGGGGGGGAGGCTTTCATGATTTATCACCATGGCCACCACTGCGGCGAATGCTCTTCCCGTGTTCTCCTTTAGCCTGCCGCCCGTTTATATGGCTTGCGAGTCAAAATTGGTTGGTGGTGGTGGTCCCTGGATAAGTTGTGGATGGAAGCTTCTAAAATGGCACACGGCCCAGAGGCAGAGTTTGTTGCGTGCAGACCCCACAATTGGGGGTTTTGACACATCTTTGCTGTCGCGTATTGGGACCAGGCATTTGAGTTTCCGCTCCGCCTCCTGTTGCTATTCTCCTGGTGGGTGCGGAGCGTAGTCTTTGTGTGGGCGACGTTCATATTGTTGGCTGCTTCTTTGTTTGATGGTGTCCATGCCTTCCACCAACATCTCCTGTTTTTTTGTTTTTTGTTGTTGTTTGGTTGCACATTTTTTTTTTTTTTTCACCCCATCTGCATTTGTGTTGCTGTTTTTGCTTCCTTATGTGTTTTCCCTTTTTTCCTTTTTTTTTCTTGTGATTTGGTCGCGTCCCCGTCACCTCTCAGTGATGGGGGCTTGCGTGTCTCGGAAACACACCACCTCACGGATCATATCAGCAAAAGTAACGGCTAACACAACAACAACAGCAGCAACAGCAGCGGGAGGAACAAATTTGTAGAGGAACCCACCGGGTGGGTTAGGGTGGATTGTTTGTGCATAAAATAGAAAAGAAAGGGAAAAAAGAAGGCGGAGAGGCGGAGGCGTCACTGCGTTTGGATGCGTAGGCAGACGCGACTCTTTTCTCGCTTAGCAGTTGAGATACCCAACAGTCACTGGCTTCCCCGTCGACTTCTCCTCGTTAGGCATGGTGAGTCTGAGGCGAATGTAGACCGCAGCCAGTACAGCAGAATACCTGACTGGAAGATCCCGCTGACCGAACGGGGTCGCGCGCAGGCGTTAGACTGCGGTCGTCGACTTCGTAATATCATCAAGAATGAGAAACTTTATATTTATTACTCACCGTACGTGCGTACACAGCAGACTCTGGCGGAGGTGCGGAAGAGTTTAGAGGAGTCACAGGTGCAGGGTGAGCGCGAGGACGAGAGGCTGCGCGAGCAGGAGATTGGCAACTTTCAGCCCTTGGACAAAATGGACCGAACGTGGAACGAGCGCAGCAATTTTGGCCGTTCGTACTACCGATTCCCTGACGGTGAGAGTAGCGTCGATGTCGGGGATCGCGTATCGACCTTCTTTGATTCTCTCTTCCGCGAGCGTCTGGAACTCTACTCGCTTTCCGCGGGAGACCCTGAGGACGAGGATGGACCACTCAACGTGCCGGGGGAGGATGACCAAAATGTTCTGATCATTTCGCACGGGCTTCTTATTCGTCTCTTCATTGCCCGTTGGTTCCGCGTGCCGTTGGAGGCATTTGAAACAATGCGTAATCCTCCAAATTGTTCCATTGTGGTGCTGGAGCGCCAAGAATCGGCTCGTATGGTTATGACGGACATCAGCAAAAAGCTCTTTGGAAGCGATCCGCTGCTGGAAATGATGAAATTTGATGGGAAGGACAGCACCAAGCGGTACCGCCATATGTTTTTTTCGGATCACTCGGGCTCATTCACTCCCGCGGAGGGTGTGTGATGCAAATGTGTGGGGCATGGGAGAAGACGCTCTTATATGTATATATATACTTATTTTATCATTATCATTCGTGGGATCTTTAATTTCTTTAGAAACTTCTGGAGAGAGTGAGCCCCTGGATGAGACTCCGTGGATGATGGCGCGTCTTGTTTGACTACCCTGTTTCCTCGCGTCTAACTTAATTTGTTTTCCGGGGAGAGCGCATTGAAAGCCAATGGGCGCCGTTTTTTCCCCCTTTTAATCTTGTCATCCCATCCACTCCTTTACTGCGACTGCCCTTTGCGCCGGGGGAATTTTAGCAGTTGCGGAATCCCCTTAAAGAGACATTTATAGTATGAGTTCCCAACGAGCCCTATTGTCGCAGGTTGGGCCACGAGCGAATTTGTTTGCAGGTGTTGGATAGACGTCATCCGAGTTGGAGTACGGGGCCCGCGGAACCAAACTTTGATCTCCCATCGTTGTATCTTTCCTCTTGTGGGAAGAAGATAGAAAGGGTCTCAGCTGGGTACATATCTCCTTTTCCCTTTTTTTTTTGTCGTCCTCTTTTTCTGGTGCATGCAGTTAATATATATTGCCGTGGAATGGGAAAATTATTTACCTTCCGCTTTTTTTTTTTTGCACTTTCGCCCTGTGCCTGTCACTCATTCTCCCTTTGTCTCTGTGCTTGTTTGTTTTTCCCTTCACTTCTTTTTTTTTGGGGGGGGGATTCTGCATCTCGCATGCCTTACGGCTGTTGCCACGTGTTTATTTTCTTTTCCCTATTTATATGTGTGTTCTTTTTTTCTCCTCGTGTATTTTTCTTTTTGTTTCCATGAGGGTTTGCGTCCCGACTGTTGTTGGCTTCAGGGTGTGTGTGTGGGTGGGTGGAGGGACAAACTTCGGTGGGTCTTTGCAGGGGGCCTGCGGTTCTGGGTGTTTTTATTTATATTAGGGGTGTGTGTCCGGGGTGACTGTTAGTGCAAACCACGAGGACAAAGCAATAATGATCCGAAGAACGTTAAGACGATTTGTGAAGAAGAGCAATCTTTCAAACCTAGGCACTCCGCTTGCGTCGAAGGACTCGGAACATTTAGCGGGAGTGTCATCAACACCGTCGACGTCAGTTCCTGAGGGGGCGGAGAAACCGGCGGTGTTGACACACACAGAGGGCGAAGGAAAGATGTCCATCACGATACGCAGTGACGGTTTTCGTCGGTCGTCGAAGGTCCCAACAGCCATCGCGGAACCGGTCAAGCGCATCATTTTTGTGCGTAGCGGCAAGAGCCTTGCCGATTTAGATATTAATACATATGTCACAACGCCCGATTGGCGTATTTCCATTGTACCAGAGGGAGAGGAGGAGAGCTATCAGGCCGGGAGGCATGTGGCAGAGATGGTAGGAGATGAGCCTGTTTATTTTTATTTTTCACCCTATTTGCGTAGTAGGCAGAGTTTTAGACACGTTTTGCGTGGGTACGACGACTACAGAAGTGAACAGAAGATGGATGGTGATTCTATCATTGGTGTGCGTGAGGACGTGCGGTTGCGGGATGTTGACATTGGTCGTTACAGATCAAAGGAAGAGCTGCTGCACCATCTGCGTGAACGGGAAGTGTACGGTAGGTTTTACTACCGTTTTCCATACGGTGAGAGTGGTGCCGACGTGTGCGATCGCGTTACGAGTTTTCTTGACGCCTTTCAGCGCGAGCGACTGGATTTCCCGATGGACACAAATGTGGTTATTGTGACACATGGGCAAACGATCCGCATGTTTGTCAAGCGTTGGTTCCATCTGACAGTTGAGACATATCATTTAATGGAATCCCCACCAACCGGGTCTGTTAGCACACTGACACGCCTGCACCACCGCAGTTGCTTCCGTCTTGACGGCAGGTGTGTTGAATGGATGAATCTCCCGCTTTCACTCAATGAGTACAACGGGTACAAGTACCGCAACAAGCAGCTTCTGGGTTCGATGAGTACTGGAGCACCATTTATGTGAAAGGGGATGTGAGACAAATCGCTTTTTCCTTGTTTTTTTTTTTTTTTTTTGTGTGTGTGTGCGTGTGTTTTATTGATTTCTCTCCTGCCATTTTTTAATATATTGTTATGTGTGTGTATCTCTACGGATTCCTTTTTTTTTTTTTTGCTTCCTCTCTTTCTTTTTTTTCTTGTTGTTTCCCTCGTGCAATTTTTTTTTTTTTTTTTGTATGTGTGTGGCCGAGCAGCTCCGCTTGTTGGATGTATCGGGCCGCCCGGCCCGCTCGCATCTTCCTCCTTGCCACCAGCAAAAACAAAAGTGGGGACAAGAAAGGTGGGGAAGGGGCGGAGGGAAGTGCTTCTACACGTTAGTGACAGCCATGCGCATGGACATGAGTGTACTCACTTATTTCTTGTCGCTTTTGTTTTTTTTGAGCCGTTTTTTTTTCCGCAACAAATTAAGTTTTTTCCTTATGTGTCCTCAACCACCGTGCCACCTCCCTTTTTTTTTTTTTTTCTCTTCCTCCCCGTATTTAGCGCCAAATTTGTACGGGAGTTAGGAGTTTTGTGAGTCATGGTTCTCTGTGTCGTGTGCGAGAGGGAGAATGCCCGCTACCGCTGCCGAAACTGTCGCGCCGCCTACTGCTGCTCGGCTTGCCACAAGACCCACCGCGACCCTGAAAGGCCCAACCACTGTGAGAGCCTCCAGCCGCCATCGAATGAAACTGGGGGAAAGAACGAAGTGGAGGAATCCACCGATAGAACGGACGCGAAGGAATTTCAGACTCTTGGCAGCAACAATGGGAACACGGCTTTGGGGGGCCACGACGCGCGCTTGAAGCGAGGACGTGAGGGTGAGACGAATTTTATTGAGGGCGAGAGGGACGAGGATGGCGAGCTTGTTGTTCTTGGCGAGGCGCACCTGTCGGAGTTGGCGCATGATAAAAACATCCGCAAAAAACTGCTCAGCAGCGAGCTGCAGCAGCTTCTGCGGGTTATTGACGCAAGCCGATCTCGGATTGACGCGCTAGAGGCAGCCATGGCGAATACACCGGAGTTTAAGGAATTCTGCGACGAAGTTTTGGGCGTTGTGAGCGCCGCAGAGAGAGGCCTGAGACCGGGTATGAAGTTGAGCTGAAGAGGCGGCGCATCCGATGCATGAACGCTTTTTTTTCTTTCTTTTTTAGGTGAATGCGAAAAGGAATATACATAATTTTATTTTAATGATCTTACGGAACAATTTCTGCGGTGCATTTGGACGTAAACAAACAGGAGAAGAAGGAGGGGGTAGCGATGAAAACACGGAAGTAAGTCTACACACGTTAAAAGAAAATGCATCCCCCTGTGTCTGCCGCTGCGTGTATACGTCATCCCTTTTTTTTTTCTTTTTTTCTTTTATGGAGGAGTACATCAGGAGACTACGCATATATATATATATATATATATATATATATATATATATATATATATATTGCGAGACAGACCTTTTTACAGAAGGCGTCCAGGTCTATAAAAGAGGGTAGGAACGGGCAAAAGTTGTGTTACCGAAGCGCCTATAAATTATTTATCACTTTTGTGTTTAGCTGGCGAGAAGTGGCAGGCGCAGCAATAAAAATACAAATATATATATATTTACTTTCTTTTTTTTTTTTTTTTTTGCGCAGGGATGCTGTTTCGGGACTGCGGAGGAGGCGCACATTCCTCCGCGGACTCGGATGAGTACTCCTCCAGCGGGGGCAGCTTGGCGAGCTCCGAGTCTTACGCCACACGCGCATTTGAGAACCGAATGAAAGTGATTTTGGGGTCGGTCCCCACGCAGGAATTTGAGGCCCAGGATGGCTGTGACCTACTGAGTTGCATGAGGCCAATGAAGGACGGCAACTCGCACGAGGGAGGCGAAAGGACTTGCGCCTTCGCTGAGGGGACGGGTGACGATCACGTATTGTGCCTGACTTCCGAAGAGGAGGAATATTTTGGGGCACTGATGCAGGGCATCGACAAAATGGCGAAACTTGACACGGAGTTCTACGAGTACCCATCGCCGGAGTACTTTAAGGCGCATCCCCCAAAGCAAGGCCTAACGGAGGAAGAGAGCGCGGAGAGCGGCAGCACCTCGACTCATCACGGTACAAAGATTTTTATTGGAGGCCTGCGGTTTGAGGTGGTGCAGGTGGGTAGGCATATGATTAGCTGGATTTTCGAGGTTGCATGTGGGGTGCGACTGTCACTTAGTTCCATTCTTGTGCATCGTAGGTCAAAGGGAGGAAGGAGCGGCTCGCCCACCGGCTGCGCCTCGGTGTTCGTGCCTACTGAACAGGAGGTGGAGCGATTGCTGGCGATGAACCAGCGCATTTTTTGTGGGGAGAAGGGGGTCCACGTGGCCGCCTCTGCAGAGCGCATGTCAGAACTTATTCTTTCGAAGGCCGTTGTCGATTTCACAGACGGGCGTGCACGAGGGCCGACGCATCCAGTCATCATTGAGCGGGCGTACGGCACTTCGGGCCAGCATGGAGCACGTAGCAGCACAAACGCTACACCGCGTAGCGAAAAGTTGCCATCTTGCCCCCCACCGCCGTATGATGTCGTGCCGTTGGGCCCGTCATCAGTAAAATCGGCCCTACAGCCGTGTAGTAACGCTTCGTCCATGCGGAGCAATTTTTCCGCTCCTGCGGTTACAAACACCGTAACGGTGGGTGGCGAACAACCAGGCAAAACACGACTTCTCGCGCCTGCGAACGAGCCTATTTACCACTTATATCCAGGAGCTGCGGAGGTCAACAAGTTGATGCTTCACACGTCTGCCGAGCTGCAGCGGGCCGCTGCTCTTTTTGTCGGAGGGTTTTCTGCAGAGACCGAGCGAGAGTTTGTGGCGTGGCTCTTCTCATTGATGTGTGTTCCCGTTCATCCCACCAACGTCTTGCCTTACGTCGATTCCCAGTCCGGAGCGAGCGCGGGCTGTGTTCTCGTGCGGGTGGAGGAGCAGGACGTGGCGAAGGCGATGTCGTGGAACAAACGCGTGGTGTGCGATGCAAGGGGAGCGTACTTTATGGCATCCCAGCGCGCGGTCGTCGCGTTGTTGGCGGCCCGAGACAAGGCGTCCGGCCCTGCGCGACCGCTTGCAATCCGGCGCAAAGATGGCGGTCGCGGTGTGCCCAACACGATGGTCCCCGGCCCGATGGCACCGCCGCCGCCGCTGCCACCGCCGTTTCCGGGTGCATGGGACCCCACGCAGTCCGCAGTGACGTCATGGCGGCGCACGGGCTCGTCCCCGAGACCACCGCCGCCACCGTACATGCAGAGCGTCATCATTGGCAATCAGACGTATCAACTTCCCCCGGGGGCGAGTATTCAGCTGCAGGTTGTGCCGGTCATTACGGGGCCCAATATTTCGGCGGGAAGTGTGCCGTTGCAATCGACGGCCTTGTCGATGTATCAGCCTATGCCTCCCCCACCGCCTCCACCGCTGCGTTAATTGAAAAACAGAAACAAAAAAAAAAATGAAAATAAAAACAAAACAAAACGAAAGAGAAGAAAAAAACAACAACAGGAGTAAAAACGATGCGAAGACTGCTGTGGTTGAAGGAGGAAAGTAACTGTGTTAAAAACGACAACAAAAAAGAATGTAGCAAATCCGCAAAGATAATATTTGTTTTTTTGCGAGTGAACAAATTTGGTAGACCAGCTGACTTTTTTTTTTTTTCCTTTATATCTTTATATCTCTCTCTCTTTCTTTATATATATATATATATGCTTGTGTATATAAGAGGAACAGGGAGAAGAGGAGACATGCATGCATATATCCACGTGCGAGTGAGGCGACGGAAGTTGGGATGGGGACAAATGGCGATGCGCTTTTAAATTTTTGCACATACACAAGTGACTGGTGGGGGTTACGCCGTGGTCAGCAGAACGTGCGAGTGGCACACACAAACACACTCACAAATGCACACATATACATATTGACACAGATACTGGACCTGAAGGAGATAATTTTACTAAATGTAATAATAAATAGCATGAAATAAGTGATAGAGTTGTTGTGCATTGTAATAAAACGAAGTGAGAGCTTTTATCTTTTTTTTTTTTTTTTTCCTTTATCTTTTAGATTTTCCTTTGAGGGCACAGTGAAATATAAGAGAGTGGGGGGGAGAGAGACAGAGAAAATAAATGACATCTTTTTTTTTCTTTTTTCTTTCTTTTTTTTTTTTTTTTTGGTTTATACGCACATATATGCTAGCAATGCATGCATACACATACGTATGGATCTTTTGCTTACTATATATAATATGCGTCTGTGTGTGTATGTGTCTGTCAGTATTTATGAATGCCTGATTTCTTTTTGCAATTTCTGTTGCTGTTTGTGCGATGCCTTAATCTTGGCGCTCTTTTCCTTTTATTATTATTATTATTATTTCTTTTTATTTTTCGGAATCATCTTTGTCCATTAGCGGGGGCAGCAGCAAAGGACTGGGAAGGAGGGCGAGGAAAAGGAAGACGAAAAGAAATAATGCAGGTTTAAGGAAGAACTGTCCTCTTGCATGTGCAGGTGCCGCATTGCCCTTTTTTCTTCTTTTTTTTGTTCTCTGTATTGTGGAGGAATTACCAACACAGGTCAGATGCGTACGTGTAGGAGAGGCAGAGAAAGAGGGTAAGGGAGGCACAAATGCATACGTGCATGTGTGTGCGTGTATACACCATCAACCTCATCGTAGGAAGATGACGAGGATTTAATTGCGTGGAGAGGGGTGGATGAAAATAACGGTGTGTGAAGTAAAAGGAAGCCGTAGAGAAATAAGGGAAGGGGAAGGAGGGAAAAGAACGGGGTTTACGCTGCATTGACAGGCAGTGCCACCTCCGCCGCAACAAAGAATGAAGGAGTCAAAGCGACGAAGAACACGAAAGGTTACCAAAAACGAAATTCATGGATCACACAGACAGACGCTTGGCGGGAATGGGGGCTAGACGACGTGCTTTGGTTCCCTCCGTCTCTCACTTTTTTTTTTTTTGTGTCTTCACTCCCTTGGACGAATGTGTTGCACCTCGTCCTGTTGCTCTAATATCGTAGGCCATTTTCCGTCTCTCTAAATCTTACGTTCAGCTCTAATTTGTACCTTTTTTCCCTCTCTCTCTGTGTATTTGGCTGCTCGTTCTTTGTGTTTTTTTTGTGTGTGGCTCTATGTGAGAAAGGCATATGGTGGCGTTTTTGCTTATTGTTATCGATGACGGCAGATGGGGACCACACGCTTTGCATCTTCACGTCTATTTCGTCTTTGTTTCTGTTGGCGGTGTGTGTTTGTGTGTCTGTGTGTGTTGGGTGAGTGGGGGGGGGCACATGTCTTTCTCTCTTTGTTATTATTATTTTTTTTAGTGCTTGTTTGAGGCAGGTGGGGGCGGTGTTGCCGGAGAAGGTAAGAGCACAACTGAACCCACGCACAGAGGCACCAGCAACAGGAAGACGAAAAGGGGGAGCGACGGAAGGGAGAGGGGCGACAACCACAAAGTAAGGAAGGGGAGAAAATGAGCATAGAAGTTCACGTGCGTCTCCGGCCCCACGTGCCCAACGGTGTTTGGTCCTCTGCGGAGACGGTGCTATACAGCACGCACAACCCCAACACACGGTATGTGTACAACAAGGTGCATCACATCGGCACCTCGAACCAATCCATATTTCAGGGCATGGAGGCTCTCGTGCATGCCGGGTTTGACGGGAAAAATGTCACCGTGATGGCATATGGGCAGACCGGCAGCGGTAAGACTTACAGCATGAACGGTTGTGAGGCGGATCCAGGCATCGTTCCCCGCACAGCGAAGTTGTTGTTGGACCTCCGCACGAAATTTCCCGGCACACAGATCGTGATTTACTTCACGGAGATTTACAATGAGTCCGTGAAGGACCTCCTTGAGCCACAGCGAGGCGAACTTGGACTCCATGACGCCCCCGATGGCGGTGTTTACTTTGACAAGAAGTCCGTGCCCATTGAGACAATAGATGACTTTGTGAGACTGCAGAACCTTGCGGAGCGCAATCGTAAGTATGGCGTGACGAACCTCAACGACCACAGCAGCCGTTCACACATTATTCTTACATTTGAGATT